TGTGTCACCAGGGACTCTACCTGGTCTGCACTAAATGGTGGCAAAAATTCATCCCTGCATTCGGGGGTACCAAATGAAACCAACTCAGCACAAACCTCAATCAATGGCTGCACCTCAGAGAACTCTGTGCCCTGATCTACTAGAACATGAGCGAGCCGTATACATTCTAGCAGTTCATCCCGGGTATACTCCTTCAGAGTTTGATAAGCATACTCCCTGTCATCAAACACTAGCAGATATAAATATTCAACCTCATCAAGATCCATCCTTCCCATCAACAAGCCAAGATGGCTTCCCTGTGCAGCCACTTCTGGTCAGGATTGGCCTTGGTGTAATGTCAGGGCTCCCAGGTATGACCAGAGGTGTGTGACTGATGCAGGGAAACGCAGACTTCAGATATGTGATAAACAATACAATTTATTAACACTAACCATACAAACATAAACGCAGTGCAATACTAAACATAATACAGTGCAAACAAACCAAACCAAACCACCCACAGATAACAGTACATACAAGCAAGCGTCGTCAGGCAGGCCGGGTCAATATCAATTGGGCAGGTAGGTACAGGGGGAGCAAGCAGAGAATGGGGTCACAGGCCAGGTTCAGCAGGTAGCAAGCAGCGTAGTACAGAGGGTCAGGCAGAGGGATGGTCAGGGTCACAAGCCAGAGATCAAAAACAGGTAACAAGCAGCGTAGTACAGAGGGTCAGGCAGAGGGACAGAAACAGGATGCAGGACAGATGCAGGACAAAGGACAAACACAACACCAAGGCCGAGTCTGTGGGTCTGGCCATCCCTTAAATACCCCAGCATCATCAGTTCCAGGTGTTAGCTGGCTGAAAGGTTGAGTCTCTGATTGCTGGGAGCACCCGCTGGCCAGCCCTGGTACTGCAGATCAAAAGGCAGGTGAGTCCCACCATTGCTGGCCAGTCCATTCCTAACAGAGACAGTGAGCATTCAGGGCCTTCACACCTGTCAGATTAAAAACCTGTGTTCATACAGCTGCTGTGTCCCCACAGTGCAGTGTTTCTCAACTCCAGTCCTCATGGACCCCCAACAGGTCATGTTTTCAGGATTTCCCTCAGATGAAACAGCTGTGGTAATTACTAAGGCAGTGAAACTGATCAAATCACCTGTGCAAAATAATGGAAATCCTGAAAACATGACCTGTTGGGGGTCCATGAGGACTGGATTTAAGAAACACTGCCATAGTGTAACAGGTGGCTTTAGCCACATAAACAACCCACTCATTCATGCTGTACAGGCCAGAGGACCTGTGTGAATGGGGCATTTTTTACTTTTTTTTCTTTCCTCAGCTCGTTAATTTCAATGGCCTGCCTAATGTGTGGGAACATGCAAAAATACTGCAGGCATATTATTTTAAAAAATAACACAAAAAAACAACGCAAAAATTAAATAAATAAAAATAATCACAAATAAATAAATGTCCGTGCAAAAATATATATATAATATTTCAAACATAAGTCCTTATTTTCCCAAAAGGATTTTCAAGACAATGTTCCAAAATGTGCTTCCACCTAATCACCACGTGAAAAATAATATTGACCGCACTCACCAGATGGATGTCAGTAATAAGCCTCATAGGATATATATATCCTTTGCCCGGACATTTATTTATTTGTGAAATTTTTATTTATTTAATTTTTGTGCTGTTTTTTGTGTTATTTATTATTGGTGGTCTTTCACTGGTGCACAGCTGTGTAAAATTGTATACTTTTTTTGAGGAATTGGCGCTGGGATTTTTTTAGTTTATATTATTTTAAAAGTGTGTTGCACCTAACCGCTCACATTGCAAAAGGGCATTGCTTTTCTTTGAATGTGCTGGAAATGTGTGTTTTGCATGCATTGAGGTCTTGCACCACCCATGTGGTGTGTTGTGCGAATTCCTAAGGATGCCAGTTACACTATAGAAAAGCAGTCTAGATATGTTTCTTATGCGTTTTTTGGCATGCATGGTCGTGTGTTCCAGGTACCCAGGGGCTTGAATCATTTACAGGCCCCCTACTGACCCCGGGCCCTCAGGCATTTACTGTAAAACGAGTTTCCAAAAGGTCAGTTTGCCCCTGTTAAAAATTTTCATGCATTTCTGTGTTCTGTGTACAGTGCTACATTCTGTCTGCTTTAATGTACAATCTTTTTTTAACAGGTAAATCAACATTTATCTTTTTACACTGTTTACAGTAAATCTAGATTTTTTATCTCTGAAAGCCCCTTGGCCTGTAAACATTCATAACATGTACTGCCAAAAAAGGCCATCATCAGGATATAAAGAAAACATCTTTAAACTCTAGCTTGCTTTCTCTAATTAATTGGCATCAATAAATTCGCACAACCAGACCACATTATGGAAGACCTCAATGTTTTAGTTCTTAAACGAAATTTTCAAATCCATTCAAAGAAATGAAAAACCCTTTTGAACTAAGAATGATAATTCTATTTGACACAAAAGATAAGAGCCTTAATTGGGACATGGGATTCCTCAAAGAATTATCCAACATTTTTATGACTCTCTCTGTGAGTGTTTTTACACAGTGTTGTTCTCCCCCCCCCCCCCCCCCCCTATTGTTTGCTCTTTGCTTTTGCTTTGCTGTGTCTTATCTCTAGGCTAACCCTAGGCTTGTGTTTCTTTCTGCTTTTTTTTTTCTCATCCCCCACATCTCTAACATTCTGCTAAAACTTTGTAATAATAGTACTGCTTGGACCTTGAAGAAGGTGACATACCCCGAAAGCTTGTCCTCAAAATTGTATGTTAGTACAAATAAAAAAAAGTATCACGTCAGTACTCAATTGTTTCTTGTTTTAATGTTTTGTTCTTTCAGTCTTATCCAAAAGGAATTTATCCAATTCAGTTTTATATTCTTCTTTACCCACATAGGGAACTAGTTTCCCTCTGGTTTTATTTATCTCATTATCCAAATGGACAAGCTTTTTCTTTTTCTTCAAAATGAGGAATTTGAGTAGAACAAGGCCCATTTTATTGAAAAAACCGGTACCACTCAGTTTCACTATTTATGTCAGCAGTCTCTGGGGGTATATCCCATCTCAGAGATCTTAGTACCATGCCTTCCTTAACATATTTTTCAAGGAAGGATATATCTCAGAGGGTTCTAATCTCTGATATGGTGTGATTAGACAGGTGTATGAATAACCCATGAAGGTTATCTACCTCCTCCTCATAAGTGAAAACATCATCTGATATAGTGGACCTCTTAGACCTTAGTTCAAAAATATCCATATTTATTAAAATATGGACCAGGACGGAAAAAGAGAGGAATATCCAAAAGATGAAATCACGAGACTTATATATATACAGATATGCAGCGCTGAGAAAGGACAAATGATTTAAAGTGACTAGGTGTGAGCGCTTTACAGCGCTATAGGTGAAAAATGAGTATGACGTGAATCGTCCAATGATGATATATCAGAAAAGTGGAAACAAATAAATAAATATAAATATAAAGTGACTTGAGTGATTTGTTGAATTATTGACATATAACAATGGAATAAATAAAGTCCAACAATCAGGTGATCCGTGTCGGTGAAATTCATGACTGGAACTGATAATGTGATTGCACTTACCAGAAGCGCAAAATTAAAGCACATGTGTGTATATATTATCCCTTTGTGATCATCTGGGTATGGGTAAAGATGGTGGAAATCATCTGGCACACGGTCAGCATGCTAGGTAACTCCAGACCTCTCTCACAGGACCCTCTCAACATCCAGGGACATCTCCTCAGAACTGTCAGACCACTGGATAAAACTCAGGAAAAACAGGGCTCTCTCCACCTAGGGGCTTGTTAGTAACGAGCCAGAGAATAAAGTGCTTGTAGTGTAGTATTTTTATTTATAATGGGAATTCAATAGGTATTTGCAGAGCATGTAAAATACACTCACATCTGGGAAAGAGTTTAAAATGGCCGCCGGCCTTCCAATGCGGCCTCGGCGGCGTGACGTCACAACAGCAAAGCTCCTCCCGGACGTGTTTCGTGCTCGTGCGCGTTATCGAAGGGAACTGCTTGACGTGGACATTAGACGTAGTCTAAAGAGGTTTTGTTAATACACCATATGGCATACACCCACGGGTCCTTAAAGAATTGAACTCTGTCATTTCAAAGCCATTGTTTCTATTTTTTAGGGACTCTTTAATGACTGGCATAGTACCACCAAGTAACTATAAAACCTGTTAGTTTAACTTCTGTAGTTGGGAAGATACTGGAGAGTTTAATAAAAGACCACATAGATGAGTTCTTGCTGGAAAAAAAATATTTTAAGCAACAGACAGCATGGATTCTTGAAAGACAGTTGTCAAACAAATCTGACTTCTTTTTATGAGAAGGTGAATAAAACCTTGGACAGAGGAGTGGCGGTGGACATGGTATACTTGGATTTTGCAAAAGTGTTTGACACAGTTCCCCACACATGGATAATGTGTAAGAAAAAGTCTACAGGCTTGGAAAAATCTGTATGTAAATGATAGAAAACTGGCTAAATGATCGTATTCGGAAAGTAGTGGGTAATGATTCATACTCTTAATGGTCTAGGGTTGTCAGTGGTGTACCCCAAGGTTCAGTGTTGGGACCCTTACTTTTTAATATATTTCTAAACGATATAGGGTCTGGGATTAAAAATACCATTTCAGTATTTGCAGATGACACCAAGCTGTGGAGTGGACTAACGTCCTTATAGGATGTCTCCAACTTACAAGCCGACCTCAATGCACTGTTTAATTGGGCAGCTATGTGGCAGATGAGGTTTAATGTTAATAAATGTAAGGTTATGCACTTGGATGCTAAGAATATGCATGCATCATACATACTAGGGGGAGTACAACAGGGGAAATCAATGGTGGAGAAGGATCTGGGAGTTCTAGTAGATCACAAGCTTAATGGCATGCAATGCCAAGCAGCGGTTTCTAAACCGAGCAAAATCCTCTCTTGTATTAAAAGAGGTATAGACTCCAGAGAGAGATATATCATTTTACCCCTGTACAATATTCCATACCTCATCTGGAATATGCAGTTCAATTGTGGGCACCAATTCACAAAAAGAACATTGGGGAACTGGAGAAAGTACAGAGAAGGGCAACCAAACTGCTAAGAGGCATGGAGGAGCTCAGCTATGAGGAAAGATTAGAGGAACTGAATTTATTTTCTCTTGAGAAGAGGAAATTTAGGGGGTATATCAACATGTATAAATACATCGGTGGTTCATATAGCGAACTCAGTGTAAAGTTATTCACCCTGAGGTCATCACAGAGGACAAGGGGGCACTTTTATGTCTGGAGGAAAAGAAATGTAATCTCCAAACACGGAAAGGTTTCTTCACAGTAAGAGCTGTGATAATGTGGAATAGACTTGGTAGTGTTAGTTCTAGCCAACTCAGTGGATTGCTTTAAAAAAGGCCTGGATTCTTTCTTGGATACACAGAATATAACTGGTTACTATTTATAGGTAAAATTGATCCAAGGAATATTCGATTGCCTCTCGGGAGATAAGGAAGGAATTTTTCCCGTGCAGTAGCAAATTGAATCATGCTTTGCTGTTTTTTTTTTTGCCTTCCTCTGGATCAATTGTGGGTGTAGGATTAAAACGTTTTTTTGTTTTTTTTTTATGGTTGAACTGGATGGACTTTTGCCTTTTTTCAGCCAGACTAACTATGTAACTGCACTACAGCTGCCATCACTGTACCCCTTTTGTGCCCCTGCTACAGTTTAAGCCGTAAGAAGGAATTAATGAGATCCGTGCCTGAATATCTACTGCATTTTGTTATACTGACATATTTAGCAAGGGCTTTGTGTTATGGGGATTGCATTCTATTGCTCTTTTTTGTGGTGCTTTATCACTGTTCAAACTGTCAAATGTTAATAGAATAACAGCTTCATCTTATTTGGTATTGTCTAATTCCTTGTTGGGGTGTGTCAGAGTAATTAATGAAGTAACATTGGGTGACTTTGTCCCAGATTTTCCTTGGAGGGCTTTTTTCACACTGTGGCTCCCACGGAGGTGTGCTTCATGTAGAGCAGGGGTCCTCAAAATTTTTAAACAGGGGGCCAGTTCACTGTCCCTCAGACCGTTGGAGGGCCGGACTATAGTTTTAAAAAAAAAAATCTATGGTCATCTCCTGTACTGTGTCCGCATTTGTTCAGAGACTGCGGACATAATACGACAGTGGGAATACTGGGCCAGCCGCTCTATAAGACGCACAGACATGTCCCCCAAGTGTGTCTT